CGGTTACATTTAGCAATGGGTTAAGGGTTCATAATAGTTACTTACTTCGCCATCAAGATCTTGTACCAAACTATTCATGGTATCATTTATTTCTTCAATTACTGAATTAGTTGGTACGGTTGTTCCGTCTGTCAAGAATGCAAACAAATTATCTAAATCCACCGTGTCTAAGTTTTTCACAGATCCATCATCAGTGGGATTTTTTTCAGAAACTGTGTTTTTGTCCATTGATTTTCCTATTCTATTATTCATGTACTCCGCCATATTAGTAAGCACCTTCATTTCTGTTTGTACTAATCTGAAATGGAAATTCAACAAGTTAAAATTAAAAACATTTGTATTGAATATTTTGGGTAAAGCAATTACCATCGTAAAAAATCATTATTATTACTGCGTAAACGAAAGATCCTACAAAAGGGCATTGCACCGATCCAATTATATCACGGCCCAAGTGCATGCACTTTTGAGACATGTGCCATGTCAACGCAACAAAACAGTAACGCAACCGCAACCGTCAGCAGTCAGATCAATGCACTTGGCCAAGCAAATTCTGGCCACGCGCGCCGAGAAAGCGCATTGATCGTCACCACAGTTGGCACCATCGTGTCGATGGTAACCTCGGAAAGAAAAAAATTTTTTTTTTTTTATTAAAAACACCCCTACGAATTTCTAATTGGCGTTATTTCCCGAATACATGGAACTAATTAAACAAGTTGCCAGACGTAAGAGTTTCAAAAGAATTTTCTGGGTGTTGGCGCAGCAGCTAATAATTGTTCTTAATAGTAAATAAGTTTCTTATGTATTCGCCTTCTGCACATAGCAAAGCATAAAACATACATACGTGAATTTCAGCTGCTCTGTTAATTATATACTTACTCCTTACTCCTTACTTATATTCTCTTAAACTCTGTACTAAAATTGTCTTCATTCGCGCAACACATATGTACACATTCAACCACAAATACATATTCCCTCTCGCATCGAAATAACTTTGCCTAAACAGCTACCACAGACTAGGTTATACATTTATAATAAATAACCTAAATTAAAATGTGTTGGCTTTTATTTGGGCTTTCGTAAATGATTGGAGTTATAAGTTATTACTCTACTTCGTCGTCGTTCAACAGTGAAATTTATAAACATTTGTGAAATATAGTACATTAACAATTTCGTTGTGACACAACCTTATAAAACATTGACATTTAGTTCGGACTGCATATAGCAGTGTATGCAATTGTATGTTCAGTGGGCTTGCACATAGAAGTTTCAGCAAAATTAGATGTGCATAATTATTAGATAGTACATTAACATTAACCTTAGTAATTGACTAAATTTGTGACTAAAATAAATAACTTAGCATTGAGTGCTGATCAAGCGACCCAGGTCAATTATTTAAACCTTAAAACGAATGCATTTTCCGATGGGCTTGAAATGACGAATTCGATGCGGATAAATTATGTTATATGGATTTTTGTGAAATATTGCTTTTAGACTCTATCACTAAACTAGAGTCGAATTTCGAAGCGGTGCAGTTTAAAGTTTTGCTTCAACGTGAGCTGAGTAGTCGGCCAAATCAACAGCTTTCTTCGAAAGAAAGCTTGACTCATATAGAGCTCGATATGGAAAATCCGTCAAGTTTGCCGCAGTTGGAGTTGCCAAAATTTAGTAAAATATATAGTACGTTGGAAAACTTATTGTTTACGTTCAAAACGCTCATAATTCTGATCTTGATATCAGCCCTATTAAGTTTCAGCATCTACGACCCTGCTTGACTGGTGCTGCATTGGATTTCATCAGCTCATTGGAAATAAATAAGCCTAACTATTTCGTCGCACTGGTTATTCTTCAACCTCGATTTAATAATAAACGTTTTATTTTACAGGCACACATCAGAGCGAAATTTGGGCTTGAGAATGAAGACGTATCTGTGGGCAGGCTTAGGCAGCTGGGGGATAAAGCCACATCTCAATTTCGTGCAACGCGGGAAGAAGTTGCTGATTGTGTCATTGTGCAAACAGTGTTGCAGCAATTGTATATGAGCTCTAAGGCCAAATGGGAGGAATGGCTTATGAGTTACCATCGTGGGCCAAGTTGTCAACGTTCTTGCAAGTTTTGCTTGGAACAAGTTTTGCCGGATGGTCAGATTGGCAAGTTAGAGAAGATCGTGAGTAAACTTAAGATCATTATGTGTTGCTTCTAAGACTCCCATGTCTTCTAAGACTCTTTATGTCCTTTGCGAATACACGAGCCACATGATATTTCACTGTAAGCGCTTTGAACAATTGCCACCAATTGCACGACATAAGGAGGCCAAGAGACCCGCTCTGTACCTAAATTGCCTAGGAAAGGGACACCAGTTGAAATATTGCAAATTGCAACCTGCCGCACTTATCAATCGAAGCACCATATTGAATTACAATATATTGCATTTCGTCTCATTAGTCTGATGTTGTGCTTCTAATCAGCGCTATAATATTTGATAATAGTTGGAAACATACAGCTAGCTGATCCCTTATTCTATAAGTAACAGCGCATCTTCTCATCGGAAATTATGTTTTAAAAAAACGGCTGTATCATTTCAGGTGGCGGGCAATCGGCCCCTAAACTATTGTCGTTCATCGCAACTCAAAGAGCTTCCAATGATACTAATCACAGCACTCGGTTTTTATGATTTGGTTCGTCAATTTTGGGAAGTGAAGAACGCTTTCGAGCCTAACGCCAAGTTAACAGAGAAGCTCCATTGTCAGCAGCATTTCAACGCAACTCATCGTCGATGGGGTTCAGGGAATATTTAGTTCAGAATATTTAGTCTGCTTGCTGAAAAAGCAAGGCGTGGAATCTTTGGGCGACTCTTATTTGCAGGCCAGACGTCGGCTCTTAAATTTGAGGCGTGATATTGGTAACATGTATAGGTGTATAAAGGTATCGGAGCCGTCCTAATTCAATATGTTTTTCGCTAACATCGGCTCACGGTCGGCAAATGAATAATGAATAATGATATATTAACCAATGGAGCAGCACCGTTGGAGGTCTTGGCTACCTGAAATGCCTCAAATAATTTTGTTTTCGACAGAGCATGTAGATATCTTGTTGGCATTCAAGTACACAAAATTCATTCGGAATAATGAAACGCATTTTTGGCTATGTTCATAAAATTCCTGAGTTATCATCGGGTGATCTGCGTCAAGGATCATTCCTATTAAGTCGTCTTGTTCAAAGAGCTCAGTTGTAACCGGATCTGTCGCCAGCTGTTTTCTTGGGCGCCCTCAAGTTTTTCATTCCAAGACGCATTTGGTCAGACAAACGCTACCAACTTTGTGGGTGCACGAAACGAGTTGGCGGATCTGAGACAGATCTGAGAAAGATTGCAATAGGTCGCAAGTTCACAACTACTGCATCAACAACAGCTTCGATTCTTATCTCCTTGTTCGCCATATTTTGATGGCCTTTGGGATGCAGTAGTGAAGACCGCTAAAAAGCACATATATCGCTCCTCCATACTTATATTTTTAAACTCTGTAGAAAAATTGTCTTTATTCGCGCAAAACTTACATATTTGTCGCTCTCGCATCGAAATAAAGTTGCCTCAACAGCTACCACAGACTTGGCATTAAATTAATAAATAATAAGCTAAATTATATCGTATTGTCTTTTACATATGTATATTCATACATCGCCGAAGATGAGGCATACAAGTATTGTATGAGCGAACAGGCTGAAGTTGCTGCAGCGGAGGAAGGTGTCGCCGAAGCACCATGCGAAAACGAAATAAGACAGAAGTCGAAAACCAAATATCAGAAATGTCCTTCAGACCTCTAATTCTAAAACACGATATAAGCAAAATAAAATTAAGACATTACAACCACTGATGAACACAAAAAGATGAATATGGCTCAACATAGAATAGAACAGCCCACAAAAATGCATCAAAAAACAAGTAAGAAAGCTCTAGTCGAGACTGCTCGACTACGAGATCCCCTGA